GGGAAAGAGGAGAGGTAGATCAGGTATGACCACTTCCTTCCTTCCTTCAGGTACCTTCTGTTCCTTGGACATCTGCCTGGCACAGCTGGAGGAGCTTGGCACCCTAAATGTGTTCCAGACGGTGTCCCGCATGAGGACCCAGAGGGCCTTCAGCATCCAGACCCCTGAGCAGTACTATTTCTGCTACAAGGCAATCCTGGAGTTTGCAGAGAGGGAGGGCATGGTGCCCTCCAGCCACAACCTCCTGGCCATGGAGGGTCAGTAACTGTCCCACGAGCCTCCTACCTGCTGCCCAGACTTCCTTAAACTACCCTGGACACCGCTGAGCCTATAGGTTGCCATCAGTTACACTGAAGCCATGGACCAACCTCTTTCTCGTGTCTCCCGGCGCACGCGTGCACGCAAGGCAGCCTTTCCCTTTGGCTAGATAGATGTGGTGAAATTGCCACTAGAAAGGGCCAGCAGCAATGTGTTCTTAATTCCTAGCACCTGCTATCGAACTGTGCCTTATTAAAACCAAATTGTGGCTATCGATTTTTTCCAGGGGCCCCGAGGTAAGTGGGGAAGGAACCTCCCTCCCCCCTTTCCCAATGCCATTCTCCTTCTCAAGGTCTCTTTCCATTCCTTCCCTTTGCTAGGATTTCATGGGGAGGTTTGGTGAGCATCCACCTCCTTTCCCAGAGAGCTTGACCAAGTTACATATTCTAGAGAACGTCCTGAGTGCCAAGCACGTTTATACCTAGGGCGTGTATTCCAGTCTTTTCTGTCATTCTCTGTGTGTGCGTGTGTGTATGTGCACTTATGTGTATGAGTCCATACGTACGTGTGTATATAATATATACTGTATGTGATAATATGGTCGTATTCTATAAATACATATACACAGAGATACTCCTTTGTAGAAGTTCCTGGGGCTTCTTGTTGCAGTTCAGGACTCCTCGCTTTTTGGATCCTACTGTTATCCTGGACGAGCTGGGGTTGGGGATCATGTTGCCTGTTGTCAGACCGCAGAGTGGTGGAAGAGGACACACACACATCCACTCTCCATGCTCCCGCCACAGGCCCTCATCCTTATATAATGACTTCTCTCTCTCCAGGATGCTGCCTGGTGGAGCCAAGAATACTGGTTTGTGGTGACACTGGTTTAATTCAGCATGGATTGCTCTTAACTAATGGTTTTTCCTCTGTTTACTTTGCCAATTTTGGGAATAGACCGCCACTGTGATTCCAGACCCTCTCTCCCCTCTCTCTATCCCTTGGGGATTGGGATCTGGGCAGAGATGAATTCACTGAGCAGCCAGAGCCAAAAGCAATCGGTACGAAGTCTTAGAAGGAGAGCGAGGGAGCCCACGTGTGAGAGAGAAGAAACTACATACTATGAGACTCCCTCCCTGAGAGAATGAGCTGGGGCCCCTTTTTCTTTTGCTAGAATGTTCTTTTTCTTATGCAGCTTGGCCCTGTCCACTCATATGCCCATCTCTTTCTTGCCTCTAGCCTGCCAGACCCTGGAGCTCAAGCTGGGTGGGTTCTGTGTCAATAAAAAGCTTAACCCCTGTCTGGGTGAAGCAGTCCCCTGCAATCACTGTTTTCCCCCTATTCATCCAACCTGTCCCTGTCTGCTCCCGCCCTACCTAGCCTGATATGCCAGGGATGGAATCAAGACTCCCAGCATTCCATATTCCCAAGAAAATCCCAGGAACCCCTAAAACTTCTTCCCCTATCACAGGTGAGGTTGGCAGCTGATCAGACCTCAATAATTTTATACTGTAATAAGCTTTTTGAATGTATATATTCTTATTTTTACAATCTTTTCATTTTGTATTTAACGTCAATGGACTGAGTCAGATTCAGAAAATAATTGTAATGTTCATATTCGATATCTTACAGCGATACAGTTTTGTATTTACATATAAATATACCGACATGATCAAATACTTTTAGCTTCATCAATTTAGTAGCAGTCTGGGGCTGGGAAGGTGAGGAGGGGCTCCAAGAGCTGGTCTGGGAGGGATGGGGAGGCAGGGAGGAACCCCAGGCCTCATAGCCTTTCAGTTTTGAGAGCTGCCCATCTTGCCCAAGGCCATGGCCCAGCTCTGGGCAGACAAAGGGAACCAGCACCAGTTGACTGCTTGCCAAGTACCAATCGCTGTGTTTGGTGCTTTCCCCCCCGATTACCTCATTTAAACCTCACAACAATCCAGTGAGATGTTACTCTCCCTTCCTTCTGTTTCTGTGTAGATGAGAAAGGTAAGGTACAGAGGGTTACAGTGAGGGTTACAGTGAAGGTAAGGTTTAGCAGGTCCAGCTCTAGAACTGGAGCTCAAGTTGGTCTGCTTCAAAGCTTTGGCCTCTTTACTGCGTTGCTATCTCAAAGATCGAGATAGTGTTTTGTCTTTGGAAATGCGTTTTTTTAATGTTCTATTCAAGGTATAGACGGTTCTTAAGTTCCAGGTAGTTGATCTTGACTAGATCTGTATGTAATAGACAAGAAGGGTTTCTGACAGAGTTGGTGACTGATTCTCCCAGATAGGACCTCCTGGTACAGGTCCTCAAGTCTGCAGGGTACCAGAGGGGTCATTCTCCTAGGGAAACCCCATACATTTGGTTACACTGGTACCTTTGTGGGAAGATCTTGAGTCATTTGCATCTCTCTCATAGAGTAGAACTAGAAGCTTTGTCCACGTAGGACCACTCCCCATGCTGTGTAGCTCCTCCCTGTTGGCCAGTGACACCTGTGCAGTTGGAGCAGTTCTGGCATGGGGTGTTCTTAATAAAAGTGACAGCAGCTGACATTTACTGGTTGCTTAACTCTATTCCAGGTACTGTTCAAAGTGCTTTCTCGGTATTGTCTCATTCACCCTCAAACCAAACTTTTGAGGTAGGTATTGACAGAAGAGAAAAACTGAGGCACGGGAAAATTAATTTGCCACAGCAAGAACTCGGACCATCTGACTCAGACCTCTAAGGATCCATCTCCTGATCTTCTAACAAAATATTCTTGAGTTTCTTACCTTAATCAAGAGCTGACGTATAGTGCAAAAATTAAGCCAGACCTTTCTTTGGATGTTCCCTTGGGGACAAGCAAGCATAATAGGTAAACAGAGATACATGAAATCTGGGAAATCAGAGAGGTTAGGGGTTTGGGGAAGTATGTAGGAAACAAGATTAATGATAAAAGATTTGGAGGAGGTGGCCTTGAACTGTCATTTATTTGAAGAGACTGTAGCCCAACTGCTGTTAAATTCAGAAGTTATGCATGAGTTCTTCATTGCACATCTAAGGATTGGTGAGGTTATCACTTGCGAGGGCTCCATAAAAATGCAGTTTCCTGGGTCCTGCCCAATAGGTGGTTGAGTGAGCGGCAGGATGAGCCAGGTTTTTGAACCGTTGTTTTAGTCCATGCCCCTTACTCTAAGGAAGGTTAGCAAATTGATGTCTCCTAAATCTGAGAGAAAGAGATTAATAGCTTCCCCCCCACTGCTGTAGTCTGCTTGTAGCCTTTACCCTTGGGAAGATAATTAATACTCAGTGTGAGCCTACCTGTGTTGGGTGTTAAAGGAGATAAAGGGGAAGAGAGAGAAGGAGCCCTGAATCTGTCCAGGAAGTCAAGGCTGTCACATAGGAGATTTGGTGAACAAAGCAAGAGAACCCACAATGAAATGCTGGATTGCACAGTTGAGAATGTAAGATGAAGAAAGTGTTCAGGGGAGAGAGAATATTGTGGGTAACTCAGGCTTCTCCTTCTGATTTGACTATTTTTTCACTTAATTTACTCCCTCTAGGCTTAGTCCCTTCATTCTGCCCATCCCTGTTAGCTAGGATGGGACTCCTGAGGTGAAGGGTACCCTAGCATCCTCAGCCTGGGAGGTTCACCATTGTCAATCTCGATGTCACAGTGTGCAGGTAAATGACAGAATGCGACTGGTTCTTGGGAGACTGGACTATTGAGCATCATATCTTGAGGAAGATGGGACTCCTGCCCTTATGGTCTTCCCATCTCTAGAGACAACCAGACACATATGGAAACTCTCATAAATCAGACACCTGCAGGTAGGTGGGTCAGGAGGTATGGCCAGGTAAAAAAGCCTTCTTAGAGTGACTGAGCTCTTTGGTAGTTTTGAGATCTCACCACTCAACTCAAGCCAGGTCCTAGCTTTTGTAAAAGAATGAGCTGTGTTAGATGATCCTACTGCAGGCCCTTCAACTCTGAGGGTCTAGTTCTTTGCTGGACGGTGCAGATGCCTATAGAGGAACCATCAGACCCTTCTCTGGTTGGGTCAGCTCCCACTTGAAATCCCCAGTTTTAGCTTGTTTTCAAAGTCTCCTCTTTCAAGGTGCAGCCACCTCCCTATTCCCTCAGTTCCCTTCCCACTTGGTCCCCAACTTGGTAAGCAGCAAGTCTCCCCTGTAATCCCCAGGCCATCCCATAGACCTTTAAGGTTTCTACGCTGTTACATGTGGGGCAGACAGAATGACTCAGAGCGGAGGAATGAACTAATCAAGCTACCACAGCTCCCAACCGAGGTCTTAGGTTTGTCCCCAGCCTGGGTTACTACCAAGATTACTACCCCCAGACCATCATTAGCTAACCAAGGACAGGAGCTAAGAGCTCCACCAGTTTGGGAACTATATTTCCTCTTGGGAGATATTCACCCTATAGTTAACCATCACACAAACAGTTGTGAATATCAAGTGTTTTGGACTGCACTGCTCTTAACTGACCACAGAGAAGACTGAGTCTTTTCCACAAATAGAAATCTAGCACTCTCAGAAACCTGTTGCAGTGTTTAGCCTTGCTTCACCCCTCACCATAGCTTTCACAAAATCCTTCTTTTTGTTTAAGCTAAATCTGGCGTTCTGCAGTCTTAAATGCTCTCATTTTTTTCTGGCTAAGGCCAACATGGACATAACTAAACCGGAAACCTAGAGTGTTGGATGGAGATGGGAAGCAGTGATCCCTTTTCAACAACTTAGGGTAATATGTTCCTGACATGGAAATATGTTCTTGATACAGTTTTTAGGACTAAGATGAAGGTGAAAGTAGGAAAGCAAGACAGTGAGTTGTGTAGAGAAGGTAGTCAAAAAAGGCACAGTGCCCTCTTCCCCACTCTAGGCTCACTTCTTTCTACCCCTCCCCCTGCATCAGCACCTGGTTACTTCTCTAATCTAATGTAGTTATCTTAGCCTCAAAACTGGCCAGATGCACAGCTGAGTCTAGGTCACGCACTTTATCTTGTGAAGTCTGTTTTACCTCCTTGACCTTTAATGAATACCTATTCTGTGGCCAGCAGCCAGTGGACGTATGGAGTATGATGTTCAGAGCAGATGCTAGGCTGGAGATATCAGTTGGGGACTTAGTTTAGATAGAACCTAGGAGCCTTGGAAGTGGGTGAGAACAAAGACGAATGAAGAGAGCAAGAAGAGAGGAGAGACCCTTGGGAGCCACCAATATTTAGGGGAGGATGGAGGAAGAAAAATCTGGGAAAGATTCTGATTAATAGGCAGAGGTGGGCTTCCCTGGTGGCGCAGTGGTTGAGAGTCCGCCTGCCGATGCAGGGGACACGGGTTCGTTCCTCAGTCCGGGAAGATCCCACATGCCGTGGAGCGGCTGGGCCCGTGAGCCATGGCCGCTGAGCCTGCGCGTCCGGAGCCTGTGCTCCGCGATGGGAGAGGCCACAACAGTGAGAGGCCCGCGTACAGCAAAAAAAAAAAAAAAATAGGCAGAGGTAAGCAAGGTCAAGACTAGGCTGTGTTCTCACAGACTGGTGAGAGGTGGGGAGTAGCTGGGATGAACGAACAGGATTAATAAATAGAGGTTCACTAGTGATCTTGGGGCAGGGGCTGACAAGGAGGAGGCATGAGTGGGAGGTGAAGGAATAGAGACT